CCATTTATGAAATATATCATAAAGTATATGATTATATATCTTAATAAACTAGTTCAATTTATATAAAATGTAGTTTTATACAAAATAAGATATTTATATATATGACTAATTGTACATATATATATATATATATATATATATATATATATATATATATATATATATATATATTGTTTTTTCTAAAGATAACATGTATCTGTATAAAAACTAGCCATGAGACAACTTTTTTCTTCTTTTGGACATGTCTTCTTCGAAAAATAGGAGGAGACAAGACATGCATGCATTGTCTATTCTTTTATCATGCTTGGGACAAAGTTCTCCCTTATTTTGCTTTATGGTCTCCCTTTGATTTTGGGGCATTATATAAGGGAGGGCATGGAAGGGTTTTGGACACATTTCTTGCAAGTCTTCTTCTTCTTCTTCTTCTTCTTCTTCTTCTTCTTAAAGCGAAATCCGAGTGCTCCATGCTCTCTAGAGGATTGCTAAATTTCGGAATTTGAAGGCACTTCTTCTTCTCCAGTCTCTTGCATTTTGATGCTTGACAAAGCCTCCTTTGTTTCTTCACATTTGAACATATATTTGGTATATACTTCAAAGGCTTACGAACAACAAATTACAAGTGAATACTAGCATGTTTTGATGGTTCTACTCTTGCTTGGTGGATACTTGTAGAGAACTTTTGCTTTAGAGTCTTATGCCACATTTCATCAACTTCCAACCTCCCATAAAAATCAAAGTCTTCAAAGGTTTGGTTGTTTTAATCTTTCTAACTCTTACAAAATGATCCTTGGTGGGTAAAATAGTTTTAATTCTATTCAACATTTTTTAAAGTTTCCGTTGTCATTTTTACCTGTTACGAAACCAGATTTATGAATAAAAAACCCAACATGGTTGTCGTCTGCGGTTTGCAAAGCTTGAGCAACACTGGGTTGTAAAGTGTAATTTACCCTTTTATCTTGATAGTAGAAACACGTTCACTAGTTCACATAACTACCAACTTTTAACAAATTTAATTGTTAAAAACTTCAACAAAAAGCAAGGGGATGGTGAATTTGAACGATATAATTGTATCAGTTTCAATATTTGGGTGTGGATTTGGATTGAAAGATTCAAACACCTTAATCGTAGCTTCAAATTTTGATTTATTCTCATTTGGGGTTCCAAAGACGAGATTAATATACCTACAAATAAATACAACCTAACAATGATGAGTGTCTATCTATAATCCTGAGAAATTTCATTGCCTAATTACAAGCATCTCGATCATAAATTTATAACAAATTTCATGATTTTGTAAGGCTTTATGAACTTTATTACAAAATATGTATACTTACAAGCGAAGTTGGCATCCTCCAGCTTATTTACTAGCTTCTGGATCTGTATGTTATCAAAAGAAATTACCATAATAAGATTTATTTTATTTTATTTTATAATGAAACACAATACAAAAAGAAGATTAATTAAGAATAAGAGCATGGAGTTGAAGAAACTGACCAGTTTGAAGAGCAGTGTGCACAAACAATGGACCAAGAAAGCTTCCACCAATACCAGCTTTCTAGAAAACAAATGGGATTACCCAAAGTTAAAATTTTTTAACAATTTCTACAAGAGTTATTAAAGAAATGAGTACCTCTTTCAGATCAAGAGTCGACCGTGTAACAAATCTTCTAGTCTTCAACATATTTTCAACAGCTGAACCAACTTGTTTTGCGTGATTCTTATCCAATGCCTTCTTCACATCATCTACTTAAATAATTAAACCCGAAAAAACAAAAACAAGAATTTAGATCAACAATGTTTTAACATCTAGAGTTTGAGTAAATTATAGAATGACACGGAATGGAACATACAACTTCCAAACTCAAAGTTTTTCTTTCTGTTATCAACTTCATCTTGAAGTAGTTTTTTTAGCTTTTAGCAGCCATTCCTGAAGCTTTTCTTGAAAATGAGCAAGAAAAGATTGTCTACTCTTCCATATTTTCAAAATGTATGTATGCTTAAATAAATGTAGTTGATTTTTACCTTAACATATATTGTAACCAAGTGACCTGGCAGAAAAACTTCCTGAGTTTGCAATGAATCAGGGTTGTCTGGTATAGAGATCTGATAAATATAAGAGAAAAAGTTATGCACCATGAAGCTGGAAACCAAAAAAAACACATGCCAACACTTTCAAAGCAAAGAAATCCAAAATTCTCAACATATAAAGTGAATAAGCGATGAAATGAGAATGGCTCACATTAGCAGATTAAATTTATCATGATTGTATCAAGATGAACCAATATTAATTCTATTAAAACAACATCAGCAAATTACAAAATTGAAGAATTTAAAAAAAAAAAACAAAAAAAAAAAAGAAAACACTTAAAAAAGAGAAAGTAAGATTGCAAAACTGATAAAAGATGTAAAGATTTATATACACTTACATTAGTGTGACTTTCATTCTCCATACCATCCATACAAGGTTTGAAATACTCTCCTAAATAAAAATGAGAAAAGAAGAGTGGAGTTTATTTAGTTGACTTTGAGTTGACTATTAAGTAAGAATAGTAAAAAAAAAAGGTGATAACATATTATAATTAATTACCAACATTCTTTCCATCATTGTTTATAGTTGTGTCTTTGAAGCAAGAAGAGCTACATGAAGCACATACATGTTCTCTGTGTTGTTTATCTGAAGTATCACATTTGTATCAAAAGGGTGAAATAGTCAATCCCCAAGTTACTTCCAAATAAATTTATAGGTTTACTTACATGCTAAAGTCATTTATTAGACTATTTTACCCCTCCTAGTCCTACCAAAAGCTTAGAGTTGGTAATGATTTTCAATTTGTCATCCGATGTACCCTAATCTTTTTAAGATGTATTTTTAATCTTCGCCTGTAGTAAGTTGATTTACATGCAATCGAATGCAAAGAACCACAGTAAATCAACGGAAATTTTTAGAAGTCCATGTCGGATTTAACAATCCATAAATCTAAAATTAAACACAACACAACGACCAAACTTAATTAAAAACTATAGTTTTTCTAAAATTTACGAGTGATTTGGGAAATTAACTAAGATTAGGATCAATGTTCGATTTAGGATTAGTAATAGAGAAAACAAAAACCTAGAGAAGCGTGTATGGAACTGGTTGTTTGAAATTCATAGCATCCTAACATTGAGGATTGATGCTTGTATCATTTTTGGAACCTTCAAACATTTTGGAGCTGCCGATTTCAGTTGTTTGCTGCTACCCACCGTTCTTGCTTTCGTTGTGCGTTTTCGATTTCTTGCTTTCGTTGTGCGTTTTTGTTTTAGCAATTTTTGTAATTACTAAAAGTTTTCAAAGTGTTCCAGACTACCAACAGAACCGTTGTCGTTACCCTATCAGGTGATCAACACCGCCGATGATCGACGCCGCTGTTGCTGTTAAGTAGTTGTACGATCTAAATCAATAGCATATGATGAACCAATAGATCAAAAGGCGTTAGATAGGAGTTAAGTGGCGAGTCAACAAGGAAGGGAGACAGACCGAGAGGAAAGCCAACAAGGACGTGATTTCCGATTAGGTTTTCCTTTCAGAGGCTTCAAAGAGGAGCGATGCAGATTGACTATGGTGGAGGCGATTTCCGGGGCTGATGAGTGACTCGACGGTCATTTAGGGCTTTGAGAGGAAATTGTTCGCCTTTTGAAGGATTTAGAGGGAATGAGAATAAAAGGAGGGAACATGAAAAGAAAGAAAAGTGGGGAATGGAAAAAATGAGGCATAGATCTTCCGCGAGGGTTTGGCGAGGGTCTAGAAAAAAAAAAGCCTATAATTTTTTCAATCGGTCGTTGTTCCCTGGCTAGGAGGTTTTACTTCCCAACAGTTAAGCGAGGAAGGGTTTTTTGTCGATAAAATCTTAGATAATCCGTCGTTGATCCCTCAGTAATACCTTTCTAAAATACTACAATTTTTTTATCGAAATATTTATGGGTTCCGTCGCTGATCCCTCAGTAAACTGTCACTAATTAGCTAACAACAGAATCCGTCGCAAATTCCATCACTGTGGGTCAGGTTTCTAGTAGTGAAAATCAATCGAAAATTGTTGCCATAGTGATTTGTAATTCCAATCAAAAGTCATCCATAATGTAATTCTCTTTCCAAATCAACATTTGTTTTATTTACAAAATGATATTTTACATATTAAGCAATACAAAGATATTTTTTTATTTAAGAAATATTATTTTAAAAACTAAGTAAAATGTTGCATGTCATGTTTTGATATCTATGATAAGAGTATAAATCTGATTATTCAAAACCCTACAAATCATGAAACGGGTTTAGATTGGCTTTTGGAATTTGCTAAGAATTTTTTGCATTGCCGAGTATAGTAGCAGTGGGGAGTGGGGACGAGTTGGTATCACTTTTGTAACGGTGACCACGGTAGCCTAATTGAGAAACGTGGTCCTAATTTGAGTAATTACGTCCGTATTTGTTGATGACAAGAAAAGATTAATACTGTAGACGAATCCGTGCCCCCAAAACGCAGACAACAATGCCATAAAACTAAGAACCAATCGCAACTCGACAACACATCCCTCCAAAACCACTCCGGTTTTTAGATCATCGAAGCTTTTCTTTTTTAAAGACAGTATTCCAACCACACATACACAGAGACTCTCTCTCCCTCTCTTAGCAATTTCCTTTCTAACCCCAAACACATGTAACAGATTTCTTCGAATGATGAATATACACCAAAATAGAAAGAAAAACATTCTTCTCCTTCTTCTTCTTTTATAAATCTTGCAAACATACCAAAGTTTCGTACTTCTTTTAAGGGTTTTCTCAAGATACCCGAGCAGAAAAGATCAAGATCAAGAGATTGCGCTTTTATTTTAGGGTTTATTAAAGAAATCCAAAAAAAAAAAAAAAAAAAAAAAAGAGTAAGATCTTGTTCGTCTTTTTAGGGTTTTCTTGAAGCCAAAAACTTAGATCAAGTGATCACTGATCAGCGTTCTTGTTTTTTAGGGTTTTCCAAATAATAATAAGAAGAAAAATATATATATATAATAAAAGATGGGAAGAGGAAGAGTGCAGTTGAAGAGGATCGAGAACAAGATTAGCAGACAGGTGACGTTTTCCAAAAGAAGAACAGGCTTGTTGAAGAAAGCTCATGAGATCTCTGTGTTGTGTGATGCTGATGTTGCTCTCATTGTTTTCTCTACTAAAGGCAAACTCTTTGAGTACTCCACTCACTCCAGGTTAATTAACCTTCTTCTATTTCATTTAAATTGTACGTACTTTCTTATTTATATACTCTTTAATCAAAATCTTGGATGCAATTCAAGAAAAGAAAAAAGAAACAAACACAATCTTTGGTTTAAAGTTGTAACACCCATCTCGATATCACTTCTTTGGAGTATATTTTCCTACACCCTTAAATCGGCAAAGAAAACAGATTTTAACCGGTTACTACACTCTAAAAATTAATATTTGGTGGTTCTTTGTTTATTTTTCTATTAATTAAAGTGGCCAACACTATTTTATTGATTTGCTTATAATTTTAGATCCTTGTTTGCATGCATCTACTTATGCCTTCTAATTCAGACATCTCTCTCTCTCTCTCTCTCTCTCTCTATATATATATATATATATATATATATATATATATATATATATATATATATATATATATATATATATATAACTTTAGGGTTCATTAACCTTGGTGTTTTTGGGGTGTTTTATTTCGGCAAGTACTAGATTTGTTATGAAGGTACTATCAGTATTCACATAAAAAGCATCTCTTACAATCGTAATACTATAATTATTAGTATATATAGTACTACAAAAGCATTATCTTTGTTTGTGTTTTTATCTTTACCTTTTTTTGGAGGGTTCGAGGATTTTGAGGGTATAATTATTAGTATACATAGTACCCTCAACAGAGGGCTCTGTAGTCCACCACCACCACCACCACCACGGTGTGCACCACCACCACCATGGTGGTCGTCGATTGTTGTCCTGACGACACATCACCTTGAACAATCAGGTCTCTCTTCTTCTCTCTTTAGCTAGGAGAGTATATATAACAGGTTGAGTGTGGAAAGGAGGTGGATGGAGATGGTGGTGATGTGGAGGTGGAAGGCGATTGTGGTAGTGAAGACTATACACGGGGTGGCCTAATAGTAGACATGACATAAACTTCAAAGAAAGTAACCAAATGTGTCATTTTTAATCCTATGAAAAGCGGTATTTGTTGTTTATACCTTGTAAACAAGATTTTATTTTCTTGTATTAAGACGCCAGACAAACCATATTTTAACAGAAAATTGGGACTCATATATAATATCGTTGTATATATGAATTCTTTGCTAGCCAAAGATAGTGCAGATCGAATACTCAAATCTTTTATGTTATTACAATAAACAAATTTCAATCACATTTGTATTTAACACCTCAACTTTCATCATTGATTAAAAGGTTTGTGTTTTAATTTGAAAGTATTAAGGTTATTTTTCAAAAAGAATGAATGAAAGAAAGAAAGTACAATAATTTTACTATGCTTTAGTAATAAATCCAAAATGGTGTTATTTGTCTCCCAAGGGACAGAGATTTATCACATTTGTATTTAACACCTCAACTTTTATAAAGAAGCTCTCCTAGCAAGGTGCTAGGGGGGGGAAGAAGAAGAGAAGGTGGATAAGAACAATTTTCAATTATCCCCAGGAATTATGGCTAACGCCACCACGTCAACCTTTGCTTCAAACGGTTAACAATAGGCAGGAGACATACACCACCTTAGACACCAATTAATCTAATACTCTTGAGCTTTCTGACACTTTTAATAATTTCCTAGGAAATGTTAATCATTTAAACATATGGTTAATATTTGTTTAATTAGACTCCTACAAAAGCTGAAAGAGTCCGTACGAATGCATTAAGGAACCTTGTACTAAAAAACCCCTAGTTATTGGCTACAGTGACCATCCGTCACTCCCCGACAAAAAAAATTGAAGTAAAAAGGGTAAAAAATATATTCCTTAAATTTAGAACGTTTTTCAATTTACTTCTATGTTTCTTATTCCTTTATGTTTAAAGTTCGTTAACTTTTTTTTTTATTAGTGTTTTTTTTTTTAGGTTATTCATGGTGTACAACATGTTACCACCTAAAATGTTCATTTTATCATTCACTTCACACTTTTGATATTATAACATCTAATGTGGAAATAAACAACAACAAATAACATGTGATAATAACTGTTATTTTTTATTTTATTTTTATTTATTTATTTATGTTGTTAATTTTTATTTTTTCAATTTGTTTTATTTTTTTATTTATGTCATAATAATTTTAAAAATACATACAAATTAACAAAACATAATTTAATTAAATACTAAATTTAAAATACCATTTAAAATCTAAAAGTGAATGGATGGAACGGATAAAAAATTCAGTTTTTTTTTTTGAATTATTGAAATTATATGTGAAAAAGAAAAAAAAAAAAAGTATAGTGGTAAAAAAATAGAAATGTTTTTTTATGTATTTATATAGATAAAAAAATATTTTTTTTAATAAATCCTATGATTTTAAATTGGTCACAATGAAGCCAACGATCTAAAATTTTCATGATTCCTCTCGTCAACATTGTAACACGCCATACCATAACGCCTAATAACACCTAGCCGAGACGGTGTTCCATCAAGAAAACGGTGTCATTCCATGTTATTCCAACTTCCACGTCATTATAATGTTGGTGGGCATTACGTACCTTAATATCTGGAATAATAGATTTTCATATTAACATGAAATAATTTTGCTAAAGAAAAAGAAAAAAAGTAGTTTAGAATTTTTTTTATATAATTTTAATCCATGTATATTTTTCATATTATATTTGTTCTGATACATGGAGGGTTTTTTTTCTATTTTTTTAATAACCGTCTTATAATTTCTTTTATAAAAGCATAAATTCGTATTTTTCTGTTTTTATAAGTATAAATAAATATTTAGAAATATTAATTATTTTTAGAAAGATAGACATGTATTTTTATATATGTATAATTATAACAATCAAAAGAATGTTTGTATGAAAAAGTTGTATTTATATTTATAAAAACATAAAAACAAATCATCACATCGATAATTAAACATCATAAAAATATGTTTTGTACAGAAATGTAAATTAATATTTTTATACTTTTTAGAAATAATAATATATATTTTAAAGTTATTAGTTTTTTAAAAGTATAAATATTTAATTTTACGTATCTAAAATAATTCCATTAAAAAATATAGTTCTACTTATAAAAGTGTGTATATATATATATATATATATATATATATATATATATATATATATATATATATATATATATATATATATATGGATTGTGAATATACATTACAACCCACTTAAGTTTAGGTTTTAAACTCTTAACTCTGTTATTTTAACTTAGTAATACATCCGGTTCTGTTTCACTTAGTAAATAGCATCCTCGATAATATTTCTTTCCTCCATTGTTGTTTAACCATCAGTATTTTCTTTCTTTCATTACCATTTATTACTTCACACCAATGAATATTATTGTTGTTCACCATCAAGAAGGTTAAAGATAATCAATATTCTTGCTTCCATATCAAAATTATTGCTTAATCTTAAATTTGTAGCATTAAGTGTTAATTGTAAATCATCTAATTTTAATATTTAGCTAGTAAATGACTTAATTTTATGAGATTTAGTACCTAAGTTTAGGTAGGATTGTAATGTATATTTATTTTTTTCATATATATATATATATATATATATATATATATATATATATATATATATATATATATATATATATAACCACGTTTTTATTGAATAATCAAAATACATGTTTGTGCCTCTATATGTCAACATATAATGATAGCCTATAAAAAATATTATGTTTGGGTGGTTTGTTTCGGATATTGAAAATAAAACATAATTGTCATACAAAAAGAAAAATTAGCTTTACACATGCTTGCTTTTTTAATATATTGTAGAAATGCATGTGGGAAATATATTTGATACTAAATTATGATGTATTGATTTGATTTAAATCAATTTATACTAGAAAACACATTTTTATTGGTAATCTAGCATTGATGTTGATATGCTTGCACTGACACTGATGTGAATTAAGGTTGAATGAAATTAACTTACATTTTGGTAACCATGGTTGAACCCAAGTTCCCAAGTTTCTAATTAATGTAACAAAATGTTTTCTCTAGTTAGTTTACCAATATCAAAATAAAAAACATTTAAAATATTTCGCTTTTTAAAAAATATGAGGTTCTTGTCAACATATAAAATTCGTTCATTTATAATTTCTTATTGAAAAATATAAAAAATAATTTAAAAAATAAAATCATATCGAATAATTGTAAATTTCAGTTTGATCAAGATTATTTTCACAATCAAAGAGCCGAATCTTTTTAGTTGAGACAAACTATAGTTCACGGAAGATGTATTTTGCGTATACTTTAATATAACACATCGATAAAGTAATCCTTTGAAATACAAAATAATTAATACAATTATAGATGCATTTCTCGATATATATCATGTTTGACATTTGTTCAAATAATTATAATAACATTATAATCCTTTGGACATTAACCATGACAGTTGTTGATTTTTGTTTTAGTATGGAGGCAATTCTTGAAAGGTATGAACGATACTCGTATGCAGAAAAGCTGCTTACTGCCCCTGAAACAGAAACACAGGTATCTTAATGCAAAGTACTTAATGTCTTTAGTGATCGTATATTAATTTGACGTTTTAATGTAAATAAACCATCGTTGCTTTTGTTCAAATATATACAAAAAACTTGTATACAATTATTGGAGTCTTTTGGGTTTTGTTTGTAGGGAAGTTGGACTCTTGAATCCTCGAAGCTCAGGGCAAAGATTGAGGTTCTAGAAAAGAACATAAGGTATGTATATATATACGTGAAGGTCAGTGAAGTTGGACTAATTTTTCAGTTAATTGGAAAGTATGTTATTTGTTTTTTTTTGGCTGGGTCTGAAATGTGGACCCCATCTGCTCTTATTTGTTTTAAATGTTTCGAGTTTAATTTCTTGGTGCAAATCATTTATTTCTTAACGACAACATTGAATTATTCAAGAAAATAGTCGTTTGATTCAATATATTTTGTACCAAGATGGAATCTCATAATCTAAATTCTAAATGCAAAATAAATTAAACTTGTGGTTCTGGTTGCTACACATACTTTTTTTTTTTTTTTTTTTTTTTTTATAATATTTTCCTATTTTTCCATTAAAAACGTGTACACATATACATACAATAAGTTTTATCGGTTGTCTTAATTTATAAATTTGAGCATGTTTAATTAGGCACTATGTTGGGGAAGACCTTGAGCCCTTGAATCTTAGAGAACTTCAAAGTGTAGAACAACAACTAGAGACTGCTCTTAAACGAATTCGAACAAGGAAGGTATATATATTCATGCTCTCCAATAATGTTTATGGTTTTGTTGTTTGGTTCCTCGTTTAGTGCGTGTTTTAGTCAATAAACCCTAAATTTCTATGCAGAATCAAGTCATGCATGAGTCCATCTCAGAGCTTCATAAAAAGGTAATCCACGCACCCTAACAATATTGATCAACAAAACTAATGATTGAAGAGTGAAATTATGGTTCAAACCATGGAACATGTTGATGATTTTAGTATCATCATATCATTTTAAGTAATTGGAACCAACATGTGAGCTAAGGGGCTTCATAATTTGTACTTTAATATAAGATTGAATTAGAAGCCGGTTCGACGACTAGTCCGGGGGCAGTACCCTTGGGTCCGAGGTTTCCAAAGGAGCATCGCCCCTTTGGCGGAGTCTAGGAGCAGCGCCCCTAGCAGGGTCAAGGGGCAGAGCCCCTAAACCCTAAACCTCACCGAATTTTACATATGGGAACATAGTTGAAAATTCAATTTCTTGAGGATGATTATGATAAAACTAACGAAACTCATTAGATTTGGTAACCCTAAATCCTCATTAAATCCGGTTTAACATTGCTTACTTCCAAAGCAACTAATGACGGCTCAACCCTAATGAAACTCTCATCTCGTTTAATATAAGCAACTAATGACGGTTCAATCCTAATGAAACTCTAATTTCGTTTAATATATAAACAGTTATTCCTCTTCAGAAGAGGGTTACGATCTTAAGTTCTCATTTCATCGTACTTTTACAGAATCCTTTAAAATATTGGTTTACGATTTCTGTGTCTAGAATCGTAAGTGTCCACTTAAGTTATCTTATCTTATAACCTTGGAATGGGTTATTTGGGTAATTTAGATGATATATATTCTATTTCTTAAAGTGTGATTGGGTAAGTTGTTATGATTAGAAAATAAATCTTCAGTTTCGTTTTTTTTTTTTTCGTTTTTTTGAACGTCAAGTGAGTTTTTCAAATAACAAATAAGATAACTCGGTTTAAATCACAAGAAAATGTCTTTTAATATAATTAAAGAAAATACTATATATGTCATAATTACTTTGTAAGATTAAGGAATCTTTTCCCCGAACTTGTATTTTTCTTAAAAAAGTAAAGTTTATGATGTCTTGAAACTTGAAAGCAAAACTTTAGTTGATTTAAACTAAAAGCGGGAATTTTCTTTCCTTTGGCAGGAGAGAGCACTGCAAGAGCAGAACAATGCACTCTCTAAGAAGGTACCTCTACTGCATTGCTTTTGTTTTTTTCTTAAGATTTATACTATTTAAAACTGTCTGATTTGATTTTAGTACTTTTATATAGTACAATTAATCGTCTATGATAGTCGTCAATAATAACAAAATATGGAGTTCTCATCGTTTTCAAAACAAAAAGACTTTGAAATTATATAATTTTGTTCATAAACATCATGACTCGAAACGGATATTAAAACAATGGTCGGGAAATTAAATACCTTCTTCACATGTATATCTAAAATCTGGACACAGTTGAAGGAGAACGAGAAGAACGACCAACAAAATGTAGGGTTTATGTTACCTCCAACTCAGCCACCACTACCACAACCCCTCCACTTACGTCCTCTTACAATCGGGAGGTTCTCTCTCTCTCTCTCTCTCTCTCTCTCTCTCTCTCTCTCTCTCTCTCATGTAGCTAAACTAAGGATTGGGTTGGTTTTGAATTATTGCAGTGGATCGTTCCAGGGAACAGTGGTTATAAGGGAGGATGAATCAGCTCAAGCTCATACCATGATGCCCCCATGGCTGCTTCGTCATATGAACCAATAAAAAAACATTCAAGTATGTTTATAAAGTGGCATAAATGAGTATAATCAAATTATGTACTTATGTTTGAATTCCTACCATAATATATGTGTGTTTAAATCAAATACTAAGCTATATATGATCAATGTGAGTTTCTATATTATATACATCTATAGATGTATTTTCTACATTTTTTTTAAAGGTAAAAATGTTCTTCGATGATACAAATAGAAGTTGATGGCTAGCGCTGGCGGGATTCCTATCTAACACCTATTAAACTGCACTGCAAGCTCACCCTCACTAGGCTGGCCAAACCCTCGTTTTAGTCTATGACCTTGAAATTAAATCATGCTTCAGCTTTACAAACTAAATGCTGGCACTTCATTGATTTTTTATACATTATATATTCTGAAAATGACCAAAAAGTTTTTTTTTTGTTGTTGATTTAATCACCAAATATATTTTAGTGTAACGGATTTAACAAGTGTTTCAAGAATAGTGTTTTAGTTATAATACAAGTTAGGAGGTGTGAGAGTGCACACTTGTATTTACTGAACACTTGTATTTTAGAACAGTACCATGATTAATTTGTCATTCTTTAAAGATGCAAATTCAAGGATTAATTCGTATTTTCTCAAAGTTGAAAATTGTTCTCGTTTTATCCGTTGTGTGGATAAGTCCGGGAAATGTATGACTTCGTTGAAACACAGAAAAACTGAAAGTACGTTTTCTTCTTGATTCTCTCTCAAAATTGATTCTGTATTTTGTACTTAAAATCAGAATCGTTTCTTCAGGAATTATCCTAGTTTGGATTTTGTGATACTCAAGGCAATTAGGGTCGAAATATCAAAAAAGGAAAGTGTATCACACGATTCCTGTTTGTGATCCAGATTTCCTATAACCCAATTTCGAAATTCCCCAACATTTTTTGCAAATTCGAAAGCAAACACTATTTTAGAAGCTAAGAATATATTTAGTTACTCAAATGACTTTTTAGTGGATACCTTGAATTATAAGTATTCGAAAGTGTTACAATTATACATCGTTTGCATGTTTGCGAATAATAGTCTACACTGAAATATATAGCATCAAAGAGAGATTAGATTGAAAGAGTTTTTAAAAGCCACTTTTGTATAATTTTATTTTTCCGGCTTTTAGGGATTTTAAAGTAATTCTCTGTGGTTTGCACAAATTACGTATTTAATCCATAACATTTGTTTTGCGTTCCCTAATGTTTTTTATTTTGTTGTGTTCTTAGTCTTTGACCAATATAAAAAGAGACTTTTTTGCTCCTTTTGATTTATTTTTACTTAATTTATTATTAGTTTTATGTTAATAATAATAAAAAAGAGGCTCACATCACACACCTTCCACTCTCCTATTTACGAGATTTCTTTTCTTCTCTTCTTCTCACCATAAAAACCCTAAATACTCTCTACCACCACCTCTATCGGACCACCCTTTTCGTCGGAGTCAACTCGCCGGACAACCATCTTCACGTCATCAATTAGTCTCGACCTTCACCACCATCGATCCAGTAGTTTACAAACCAAAATGAAAATGACGACGTTGAACCCTAGAAATGCAGGACCAAACAAAATTCCCCTAGTATCGTCATCATCAGTGACCTTAGTGCAGACGGAGGCTCTAAAACCCTAGCTCGTGATAGATGAGTCGTGGTTGAGGAAGAAGATGAATATCTGGTGGGATATGCGAACCCTGGCGGTAGCTATCGACCAAGATGCAGGTTTCTGGCGGTGGTTTTAGACCCAGATCGATGGAATTCAAAACATCCATCTACTTCTCTGTTTTTCAGTTGTTGGTCTAAAGGGAGATATGGAAGGGAGAGGAGAAGTAGATGAACGTGGATGTAGGGCCTTATCGGACAACAACAAGGAAAGTGCGGTGATGGATGTGGTAGCTGATTGTTCCAGAAATCAAATGTTTTTTTTGGGTGATTTTATGTGCTCGTTGGAGATTTGTGCTAGTCGGTCGTCCAATGAATGAACGAGAGGGAGATGAGAGAGGGTGTTTGATGGGATTGGTGGCGGGAGTTTCTGGTTCATGGTTTGGATTTTTTTTTTTTTTTTTTTTTTTTTTTTTGCTTCAAATATGGTTTCTGGTGGCTGATGATGGATATCGGTGGTTGGTGGTTGTTGTCGGTGACTAGTGATGGTTATCGGTGGTGACTGGTGGTGGTTGCCATTGACTAGTTGTGGTTATTCCATGTCTATAAATCATTTTATTGATATCTTTAATTGATAAATAATAAACAAATAATAAAAAAATTAAAAAGAAAATACAAAGGGCAAAATAGTCTTTTTACTTCTGCTAGAGAGGAAAAACGAAATGAAAACAAACTATAGGGATGAATCGGCAAAACAAAAAATTGGAACCAAACACGAATTTTTGCAAACCATAGGGATGATTTCAGTAATTTGCTTGTAAAAATAACAATAAAATACATAGAGGTGTTTGGTTGTTCTTGGAAAATTAACAAGATGATATGATGGAGTAAATTATGCCAAGGCTTTCTTATCTTAGTTTTTATATACATGAACAAAAAACTAGTCTTCAAAAACTGACAACCGAAACCGAATCAGGTTTAGAACGAGATTTGATTGAAAAAAAGATTGAACCGTAAAAACATTAATCAAAACCGGTCAGAAAGACTGTTCTGAGACCGATCACAATTAAATATTAGAAGCCAAAGTTTATATGTATATCACTTTTTGTGTTAATCATACATTACCTAACTTCTTCCGTTTATTAATTTATTCAATTTTAATGTGTTGATGTTTTTTTTTTAATTTATTAATTCTTAGTGTATCATTTTTACGTTAGTCACACATTTTTTAAAACTGGAACAAAACTCACAAAATTAAAACTGAACCGAAAAAACCTGAAGTTAAACTAAAAATGATTAATGAAGAGTCTGTGAAACCAGACTAACAAAATTCAACACCGGTCCCAAAAAGATTCGACTGAAAAAAGACCGCTCAATCTGAAAAAAAAGTGGATTGTTTCCAGATAGATACCAAAATATTAGATCGTTTCAAAACTGACATGAGATCGGTTTGAAACATTAGTTGGTCGAAACAATTAATTGGGCCATGTAGAGGAAAAGTAAATTATTAGTCTTTAAAGTAGGTATCAATAAGACCTTTTTAGTCTTAGTTAGTCACTCTTAGAAATCATGATGTGACTCGATTATGATGGCGAATGTGGAATAGTAATGATTAACGTGAATCAAATATAATGGAAGAATACTCCATGAAAATAATTCACTGTTTAAGCTCAACTAGACTATAAAGAGTTTACAAAATTGGTCTTGTAATGATTTCTCTATCTAAACTAAATCACACACATATGGGTTCTTATAGAAAATGGGAGCTACTCACTTCCTATTTATCGAAAAATCTCAACATATTACAAAATCTAAGAGGGTAAGCCTACATCACATCCAAGGAGAACTTTGCACCCTAACATTTTCCTCCTTAAAGTTAGGATTGAATGTCCCGACTTCAATATCCTAACAAGCTCTAAGCGATCAAGACCAACTCCCCCTCGAAGTAACACCGATCTTCAATCTGCTTTGAAAAAGTATATCCAAAAAAAAACTTCGAATACTCATTTCAAGTTTCTCCCATTTTTTCTACTCAACAAATGATTATAAAATGCCAAAAGGGTATGAGAAAGGCTCGAGGAATAAACCATACGAAACTCCCCTTTGATGTGTGACAAAAATGAAATTCTCCAATCCGATAAAATCCAAAAAATACACCGATGTCTTCAAATCTTTGACTTCTGGGACTTGAAAATGAACACACCATGTTCATAAACCATGAAAAAACTAGCACCAAAAACAATCACGAAAAGCTGAGAGAAAAATCTTTAAATGTTGAGAAGATTTCGATTATTGTAAATGAAAACCGGGTACAAATTGCCATTTTATTAAGTACTTCAGGGACCAATTGCAAAAAAATTACCTTCAAATTCATTCCAGATGCGAATGTGGGTATAAAGTGCATTTTCATATAAACTTCAGGGACCCAATCTGTAATATTTCCAATACATTCCACAGATTCCAAGTATTTCTACTTCCGGATGTATTCTATTAATTTGTTGAAAGATGAGGGGACCATATGTGAAACTTTCATACACTTCTTCCCCAATCGTTCCTGTTGCGAAAGAATTAGTAGCATCAGTAGGAAGTAGAACTCTTGACTTGAATTAACTTTTGACCCTTTATGCTAAGTGAAATAGAAAACCAAGCTAACTCTCGACTCGAAAACAAATCCCTTTTGATTCAAAGTTATGTTAGCTTTGACTAATGACCTAAAATCACTGTTGATACCATAGTTCCTGGTTACGATTCCAACCGTGAACATTCGATCCCAAGAACAAATTCCAAAAACAATCGAACTATCAATCATCATAAAATCGAGACTCTATCGCTTGATTCGAAACTAATCTTTTGATTCTCAGGCAATCAGTTGAAACTAAAGTCAAAATCATACTTTCGATCTTTTAGCTATTTGACTTTCGATTCTCAAGCTAACACAAATCAAAATTAAATCAAGATCACTTTTGACTATTAATGTAACAACGTAAATTTTAAAACAAAATTTTCATTTTTGCAAACATCAAAACCATCGTTTAATATTCCGAATTCAAATGTGTAACAATGTTATCCTAACAAAATACATCCCATGATCATAAAAAAAAAAAAAGTTTCTCCGTCAGTATGTACAATCATGCCGGCGCCTTCCCACGGTCCTCGCTAGTACCTGAAACACATAACATAACAACTGTAAGCATAAATGCTTAGTGAGTTCCCCAAAATACTACTTACGCACATACGCCTTTCCAGGCCCTGACCTTCTGGTCTGTGTGTCTCAGGGGACTTCCGTCCCGACTCGGTAAACCTTCCGGTCCTACCTGCGTCAACCTTACGGTCCACATAACAACGCCTTCCGGCCCATAACATATACGCCTTCCGGCCCATAACATAATGTCTTCCGGCCCATATCAAGCATATCATACATAGCACATATAAACGATTAACTTATCATATACAATGCATATAACTCATAGCATATTCGACCTTCCGGTCACACAATAAAAACCCTTCCGGGTACAGTATAGTGAGAAAACTCACCTCGTGGA